ATTGAAATTACCTAAAGATTAGGAGGTACAAAAAGGAATAAGGCATTCACATCTTTAGATATGAACTAGTGAACAAAGAATGTAGAGAGGAAATAAATTAGTATTCAGAGAAACCATGTGGAAAATCCTAAATGAAAAGACAAAAAAAGCAAATGCATTGAAATATCTTAATTTGAGAATGTGGTTTTCCTATGCAACACTACTGACCTTCTAAAGCAGAAGTGTCAAACTCACATTGTCACGTGACGTGTCGCGATGTATGGTGACTTTTTTGCCATTGCCGACAAAGGGGTGGGCATGGTTTCGCCATAACGCAATCAGCCCGTGGGCTGGCAGTTTGACACCCTTGTTCTAAAGCAATGCTATATGCTAATTAAGACCACAAAACTAATTATAGCAGAATCCTATGATGCAAAACACACCAAGATTAGCAGGAGCTTAAGCAATAAATGTAACTCACCAAGTTTTGAAATCTTGGAGCAAACATGTAAATTTCTTGCTAAACAAGATTAACTACCTAATTCAATTACTAATTTTTCTAAACTAAAAAAAATCTGTATGACAAATTAAATTCTTCCTATGCCCCAAACCTGTCTGATATACAAGCAGGATTTTGTAAAGGAAGAAGAACGTGTGATCACATTGCCAATCTGTGTTGAATGATGGCAAAAGCAAAAGAATACCAAAAAGACCTCTACATGCGCTTCATTGACTACACAAAAGTCTTTGACTGTGTTGACCATGACAAGCTCTGAAAAATGCCTCAAAGAACTAGGAATATCATCATAACACAACTGGGTCAAAATGGTTCAGAACTGGGTTCAGAAAAGGCACTCAGCAAGGTAGCATCCTGTCATCTATACTAGTCAACATGTACACAGAAATAGTTATGAGAAATGCAGATTTGGAGGATTCTGCCACTGGGGTTAAAGTCAGCAGTAGGAATATCGACAACCTCAGATATACAGATGATACAACATTGCTCACGGAAAGCAAGGAAGATTTGCCATGGCCACCAAAGTGAAAGATGAAGAAAAACGTATTGAGGACATCATGTAATGGGTGAAATAGTCCATGACAGGGCAATAATTTTGAATCACTTAGTTGAGAGGGACATTAATAAATTATTACACAATTTTTAATCCAATGGGCTTTCTACAAAACGTATCCAAAATGCAAAACCCATGACTCCCGAGGGAATGATATTTGGGGAAGTTGTGGCTGCTTCAGTGCTACTGGCTGCTGCTTTATTTCTGAGCTGCTGTGGTCATGTGATCTTTATTTTCAATATTCCGTGATATTTTCCCAGCCAGTCTTGCGATCCCTCCCTCTGCTTCCCACCCAGCAGCAGTCATTTATCTGCTTGCTGGGAAAAGGGAGGGGAAGGGGATTTCCAATATTCTCTTCAGTTCCCTGCTTCACATGGAAATTCAGTGGGGAAGACAGCAGGAAGTCAGAAATCACTCCTGATCCCATTGCTTTTTTGCATTTACCTTGGTCATGTTTCTCTGTTTAGGCAAAGAAATACTTTCAAAGGTTGTCTGTCTGTCTGACTGTCTGTCAACTCAAAGCAGCAAACCTACTTATTACCCCTGCTTCCTACTTTCTTCACACCAAGAAGCCTATGAGATGAGAGTTGAGAGAATGACTGGCCAAGAATACTACAGCAAACTGTCTGTCTTAGTATAGGCAGTCTTCAACTTGTGACTGTTTGCTTAATAACACTTCAAACGAATGTCCTCAGAAAGTGTGTTTTATGGCCTGCAAAGCACTTTCTACAGTTGCAAAATGTTGCATCCCTCCCCAGTCATGTGATCATAATCTGAGTGCTTGGCAACCTGTTTGCATGTATGACTGGTTTCCAAGCCCCCACAATCATGTAAATGACATTTGCCATTTTTTTCTGCCAGCTTGCCCCAAAAGTCAATGGGCAAGCTGATAGGAAAGCCCCAAAGGTGCTTTTTCAAGAGGCAACTGGACTTTCTTATTCTCATCCAAGAAGCTTCCTCAGCTCTGATTGGATGGTGGGAAATGAAAGGATTTATATTCCTTGCAGACAGCTGGTCATTTGCATTCTTTTACGGAGTTGTTGAGGCCACTTGGAGGTTGTGGTTTAAAGTGTGGTTTAAACCCAAGAATACACTAAGGCAGAAACTTGTCCACCCCAAGGATAAAACACCCAAACACAAACTAAGCAGTATATGCAGTACAATGCAGTGAGCCATGTGCAGATCTGTACAATGGGGAAACAAAACAACCACTTCAAAAACGCATGGCACAAGGTAGACAAACAAACCCATCAGGACAAGATTCAGCAGTCCATATGCATTTAAAACAGAGGTCACCAACCTTTCTCGGTTGACGGATCGGAGGGAAAGGGAAGGGGAAGCATTTTAAATGTGCGCGTGTGTGCATGCATGTGCTTACGGGGCCGTGAGCATGTGCGTGACGCAAACAGTGGCAATAGCGCCCATGTGATACTCGCTAGCCCTGCCCGTTTTTGCGCAGTGCAGCACCATTTTCGTGTCCCGCGTCACGGTGTCTTGTTTTTGCGCCCCATAGTGCAGCCACAGCCCATTTCTCCCCTACGGCCACAGCACTAGCGCAAGTGGGGTGTGCGCGCACTGGCCAGCCTCTCCCACAGGTTGGGGGGCCCTGATTTAAAAGACAAAGGCCACTTTTTTGAAGACAGCAAAGTCCACATTTTGGACAGATTTTGGTTTGAAAGAGGGATCAAAGAGGTCATCTATGTCAAAACTGACCAGCCTTCTCTCAACAGAGGGGGAGGGATACAACATCATTTATCAACAATGATGATAAAGGCTCCACACCCATTTGCACTAGTCAGGTGGCCTTGAGGACACAGATAAACCTCCAAGTAGCCTCAGCGACTCTCTAAAAGAATGCAAATGACCAGCTGTCTGCAAAGAATATAAATCCTTCCATTTCCCACAATCCAATCAGAGCTGAAGAAGCTTCTTGGAAAAGAAGCGAAACATCTTCAAGGGAAAAAATAAGAAAGCCCAGTTGCCTTTTGAAAAAGCACCTTTGGTACAACCATGACCTAGATGACTGAGAATCTCCGTAGGCATCTGGCAGAGAAGGTTGCAAGCTGCTACCTTCTATTGAGAACTTTGTCTCAACTCTGGGAACTGGCTGAAAAAGTTATGTGCTAAAACAGAGCTCCCCAACCTTTCCAGTTTGGCGGCCCAGAAGGGAAAAGCAGGGAAATGTGCATGTGTGCAGCCCTGCACGTGCATGCGTAAATGGGCATCTGCATGATGGCACTAGCACGTGCACATGCACAAGCAAGTGATGCACACCTGTAGTGTGTGCTGGTGCCCATGCGCATGTGGCATGCTGGCACCCATGTGCATGTGCAAACGGGCCACTGTCGCCTGTGTGCATCTGCAAATGGGCTGCTGGAGCCCGCATGCATGTGCAAATGAGGCTGCTAGCGCAGTGCTACTATGAGTGGGGGGCCCGGTGGCCATAGGTTGACTGTGGGTTGGGAACCCCTGCACTAAAATCAACACAGGTGCAATTGAAATCCTTCAGCACCAAACTCTTTTCTATCAACCCACAGATAGGAGAGGGAGTTGAAATTCAAGTAGGATTTTTAACCCCTGAGTGGAGAGGCAACACAGTAAAGTAAGAGTGTAAGCTGCTTCAGAAGGGTGCAGGAGGCCAGACACAGGTTGTGCACTAGTGTCTGTCTCCACTCACTGGTTGAAAATCCTGCTTGGATTTGGCAGGGTTCAGTTCCTGAGTGGAAAGACACTTACATACCACCTACACCAGGCTTCCCAGGATCTCCTCCTCTTCCTCTCCCCTCAGTACCCCATAGTTCTCAAGAGGAGCTCTGTCCAGTTAATGACCTGCAAGACTGCTTAGCAACTACAACTGGAAATGCAGTTGTTGAGCAAAGCAGTCACATGATCTCGCTTAATAAGTGCTTCAGTCAACCATTGAGATTCTGGTGCTGTGGTCATAAATCAAGAACTAAATGTACTGTATTTCAGACCTTACTGAAAAAAAACTGTTTAAACACATGAGGTACAAAGGTAGGACATCTAGAACTTTCATTTACATTTTGCAAAAGCACATGTAGGAACACACTGAAATGAAGGTAGAATTAAATATGCAAGCTGCTATGATTAACTGCAAGTCTGCAAGATCACAATTAGAAGTAATCTCATTGCCCCAAAAATCTCCAGGCAGAGAGGGTGAACAGCAGTGGCTGCTTCCGGAGGTACAGGTAGTCCTCATTTACAACAGTTCATTTACTGACCGTGCAGTTATAATGCCACTGAAAAAGTGACTTATGACAATTTTTCACACTCAACGATCGTTGCAGCATCCCTAAGATCACGTTACTTACATTTGGAGGCTTTGACAATTATTTCATAATTATGACACTTGCAGTATCCTGGGGTCACCTTTTGCAAACTTCTGACAAGCAGAGTCAATGGGGAAACCAGATTCACTTAACAGCTGTGCTACTAATTTAACAACTGCAGTGATTCACTTAACAAATGCGGCAAGAAAAGTGTAAAATGGGGCAAAACTCACTTAACAAATTTCTCACTTAGCAACGTAAATTCTGGGCTCAGTTGCAATCCTAAATCGAAGACTACTTGTACACTTGCTTTAACACCTACTCTTGAAACAGAGGCCGCCACAAGATAGTCTCTTTGACTTTTAGGCTGAGCTCCCTTGCCAAGAAGCGAGAAGTGTATTACTACTGCTTCCTTCCGGGATGTTTTGAGGACTTCCCAGTCTAGCTTTGAACCCGGGGATTCCCTCCTTGGTCTTCCATTCCAATATAACCACCTTAATTTTCAGTCCACGCACGCTCGTGGGTATCTAAGCATAGTCAGACGCAAACGCCTCTATTGTAGTGAATCGGCCTTGGTGCTTTTGGCGCTCTCTGCTGAGTCTGCCCGACTGCCGGGTGAGGAGGAGCCAAGGCGGAGTTGCCAGAAAGAGGGCAAGGCCCGAGACTCCTCTGTTGCCGGCAGACGCCACCTTTTTTTCCCGACGTTCCTCTTTGCGGCGAGCCCTCTCCTCCGGTCGGCAGCCGCCGCTTCGCCGCTCGGGTTGCGCTCGCCGTCTTCGTTCTTGCTGCGCCGCCATGGCCTCCTACAGCAAGTTCCTCACCGCGCGCTACTCCACCGTGGCCGGCACCGCCGCTGCCGCCTGCGCCCTGATTTGCCTGATCAACAAGCGGCGGAAAGCTGCCGCGGCTGCCTTGCACGGGTCAGTAATTGGGGGGGTCGGGGGGGCCGCCTGGAGGCCGCCTAGGGTCGGGGCTGCGATTGCGATGTTGGGCGACAGGCTGGCTTCTCCAAGGTGGCCCGAAGCTGGAAGGTCACTCGAGTTGGGCGAGGTTGGGCTGGGGTGAACGATCTTCCCCTTTCCTCCAGTTACCTAAGGGCCGGTCCCAGCTCGGAAGGTGGAAGGGAAATCTGAAAGGGATTTCGTAATTGACAGAGGTCAACAAAAAGCGGCGCCGTTGAGCTGCTTGATCACTAAGGAACAGGTGGATGTTCAGCAGGTGTGGGTTTTTTTTTTTCAACGGGGGAAGGCAGGTTATTTGTCTGAACTTGGAGATCTTACTCTTCCTTCAACCCAACTCTTCCCTTCCAAACTCGTCTGCAAAGCTTGGTGATCAGCCTTTGTGATCAGTTCTAGTTAGCTTGGCCAATGAGGAGAGAGGACGAGAGAGCGTCTTCTCCTATTATTTCTTTCTGATATTTGAAATCCAATTAATTGGAAAACATAAACAGTGGATGCAGTGTTTAGGTATGACGTTCCAAGATTTGTACGGGTTTGTTTTCAGTAACCAAGTGGCCAAGTTTTAAGATAAATCAAAGCTATGATATACAACTTGGAGTTATAGTGATTTGTTTGCTAAGTGATGCTGGTGTTTGCTCTGGATTTTGATTCCAGAATTCTCCTTTGTTAGGAGAAAGAAATTGTATTACTTTAAAAATGTATATTATTTTAATGTTACAATCATAATACTGTAGTTATCCTTCACAATATACTCAATGGCACTTATACAAAGGATCTAATTTATACAAACTGCATGGGGTCACTGCAGATTATCATATATGAAACATGATGTATGTATGCAGAGTACTGTGCAAGTCTTAGGGCATCATTAGATTTGATGTGGCAATTATATAATGACCATATATAATTATATCTCAGTCTCCTTATTAGGACACAACCAGAAAATACAGAGAATTTGTATGCAGCATTCAAAAATAGGAAAAAGCAGAAAAAACAGATCCTGTAGGCTAAAGGGGCAAGTATTTAGTGTAGGGGTCTTCAAACTTGGCCCTTTTATGACTTGTGGACTTCAACTCCCTGGCTGAGGAATTCTGGGAGTTGAAGTCCACAAGTCATAAAAGGGCCAAGTTTGAAGACCCCTGATTTAGTGTGACCTCCCCTTACACTTGAGCAACAGCAGACCCTGGCTCCTGTAAACCTAAATGGAATGGAACTCTAACTACTGCCAAGTAGGTCACATGCATGTGCCCTACTATTTCCTGTCAAAATGACTGCTGTGAGAAAAGGTTTATTATATGAGATTTGTGCAAGACCTTCTTGAGCATTACATACAATACAGACACATGTTGTATGAGTGTAATTCATTGGAACCTAGCTAATAAAGCCAACGTTCAATCATATAATTCCTCCAAAACGCCAAAAATCACAGAATTTGACAGACATAAAATCATTCTTTTCCCTCAGGAAGGCCACTCTCAAAGGGAAATCAACAAACAAGCTGGATATTCAAGATCTGGTATTATTCAGTACCAAAAAATAATCATGGACAGCCATTAAAACTTTGCTACAGCAACATATCTAATGATGGGCTAAGATTTTTCATACTACTATGTATCTTGCAAGTTTATAGCTGTGATGACTCAGGCTACAGTTTAGGTAGTAAAAATTATTTTTTAAAAAAACTTAGTAAACTTGACTTTCAACTTTGAAACACTTTCAAAGATTTATAGGTTGGTACTGCCTAGCATTAAAATAATTAGACAACAGTTAGTTTAATTGTCTTTATACTAGCAAATTGAATTTTTATATGAGTTGAACACATACATACACAAAAAAACATTATATGCTGTCAGTACTAAGGAAAGCAGTTTATCCAATTGACAGATTCAATAGTTACCTTATTTTCAATGTGTCCTTAGACCTTGATCATGATTTTATTTTCCTGAAATTCTATTGTTAAATGATGGATCATACTCCTTTGATTTGGCAACAAATTTTGTGTATTTTATAAATTACCTGACAAGCAGATCATACCTATATACATACTAATGCATTTTGCCTTTTTTAGTTTTGCCTTTTGCCTATTTTAGTTATTTATTTAGAATATTTATAGAGCTGTCCATTTTAAACCCAAACTCTGGGTGTCTTACAACTGAAAAAATAAAGCAATATATGCAACAACAAAAACAAAATAAACAATTAAAAAAAACCCAGGCGCAACAAGTACACTTTCCTGAAGCAACTTCTAACATTCTCTTCCCACTCTAACCTCACCCTATCCCAACACAAGAGGGTAATGCCAGATTTTATCACCTTCCTGGGGGTTAAAAGGATGGGGGCTTGTCGGATCTCTGTTCCATAAGGTGGTGCTGGCAGTGGAGAAGGCACACTTCCCAGGACCTATAAAATGGCGGTGTTTAAGGGAAAGGGACTGGGACTGGGCCCATGCTATCTGCTTTGGTGAAATGAGCAGATACTGTCAGAGAGAGGCAGTACCGTAGATGACCAGGCCATGTAGGATTTTAAAGGTGATAATCAGCAACTTAATTGGACCCAGAAAGAAACTGGGAGCCAATATAGTTCATGGATCAATAAATATGGATCAATCTATAGGCGCTCAGCCCTGTGCATACAGCTGCCCTTTGGATCAGGTAGTGCCATGTAGGATTCATTGCAGTAATCCAAAGGGAAGTGACCAAGGTGGGAATAATCATGAAGAAGGCAGGAAAGGGCATAACTGGTGCACAAGCACAGCTTTGTGCAAAATTCCCCTAGCTACATCTGCCACTTATTAATTTTATAGACATAATATGATATCCAGTGATTCTCCAGTCACACCGTAAACTCTACTTCTCTTTTTTTAAATACTGTCTCTTCAGCATCTCAAATCTTCTCTGGTGAATTTTATTAATGAATATTCAAAAAAATATAATTGATGGAAATCCCTATTAAATTAAATGGCCTTTGGGTTCCCAGTTAAGGTCCAGGCAATTCATGTTAAATGATTTAGTTAGTTTATTTAGTTAGTTAATTTTAATTAAAATTACATTTGTGAAATTATTAGTTTTCTGCACAGAGAAATAAATAAATGAAATTTGCTATCCATCAATAGATTTGTGAACACATATGTTTGGAAATGTTTTGTCATAAAGGTTTTAATTTGCTAAACAATATACTCTTATCCAAATAGGAATTGCACAGTGCAACATAGTTCAAACGTTAGCTTTGATATTAACATATTATCCCAAGTACTATAGAAGGTTTTATACTCACATAATATAAAATAGCATTTGGCAACCACAATTACTTAATTTTGTAGGTGAGAGGATTATGTCGCAAGGACATAACTTTTGTTCTACTGATCTCAATGATAGTTGATTATTCAACTAAAGAAATAGTTGTGTCATAGTATATCCTTTCCAAAGATAGTAGGATGCTAAATGAAAATTAAGGAAAAATTATCTACAGGATAATAGTGTTTAGAATAGGAGTAAAGAAACTTCATTTTTTCAGATGTTACTGAATTAAGTTCCTGTTAACAAGTTTTAGAAGATCATAATTCTCTCATTACAGATTTAGAGAGCATCTAGTTGAATTCTTCAGTGCTACCTTTTGAAGGATTCTTATACACATTGCCACCAAGGAAAGATATATTAACTATACCTGTGATAAAATTCAGTCAAAGGGAAATAATATTCCATTGCAAGGAAATTGATTGAAGCCACACATAAATGTTCCCTTAAGTCAAGATTATATCCATATCTACAGCAGTGTCATCCAGAATGTGGAATCATTCCTGTTTTATTCTTTTGATAGTTTCTCCCAAGTGAATATCATGGGACATGACTAATGAAGAACACATAGAACTCTACTGGTTTGCTACAGTAGCTTTGCTATTGTTGTATAAAAGCATGAGGATGAATTTTGCAGTAAAATAGTGAAAGTAAGAAAGATTAATTATTTATGTTAACAGAAATGAAGCAACATTTAGTCTGACTATTGTAACATAGAACACGACCTTCACAGCAAGTCAATATGTTACTTTTGATTCTTTGGAATTTTGATTCCTACCGATAATTGACAGAAGATAATTGTGGAAAACCAAACACATTGTACAGCATTTTCATTAATGTGCAAATGAGAGTTACAAAAAAAGGCAAAAGCCAGAAATGAATTTGGTCGGTATAGATATATTTGCAAAATGTCATTTTTGTCAAGTCTAGGATTATGAGCGGTTGTCAGACTTCCTTTGCAGCCATGTGGATTGAAAACAGTTAAATGCAAAGCACAGGTGTGTTGGAACTTTAGCAATAGTTATTAGAAAAAAGGTAAAGTTTTAGCACAAGGGTTTCGGTAAGTTCTCCACTTTGAAATAAGAAAACTATATATAGGGGGCAAAATCCTGGTCTACTTTCTCATCCTCTTTTCCTTCAAAGAGGAAAAGGAGGCTTGCCTCTTTGAAGGCCTGACTGCATCTTACGATCCTTTTTGTAATTGTTTGCTAGGCTTCTTAGCAGTGTGAGAAATTACTCTCTCAGCTTTATCCTTTCAACACAGTGAAAGCAAATGCAGTTCTGCGTTGACAAAGAAGGGATCTGTTCTGATCTTGTGTGATATTTGAGCAGAATCTGGACAAAGCAAAGTAAGGTAACAAAGGAGTTTCTTGGGTTTGTCAATTAATCAGTGATATTCCAAGACCTAGCTGGGTGGAGAGAAAGAGTGGTGACAGCAGAAAAAGTAGTCTGACAGGATGTTTTAAATCTTAAGCTTCTTATGAAATCAAAACTCTGAAGGGGCTGTGAGAAGATCGTAGCCTTCAGATAGCCATCTGAAGAGTTAGCTTAGAAGTCATTTCTTCATCACAGAGAATAATGAGAACTGATGTGACTTCTTATCTCTGGTTCTCCTGTCTTCCAGTGCTTTCACTAATTATGGTATCATTAGGAATATCTTCTTATGCT